AGACAAGTGAAGCGAGTAAATGTAGTTGAGAGTGCACCGAGCAATGCGGCAGCGCGGACCGGGGGTGTGGGTGTGGGGGGGTGGGGGGGGGGGGGATTGAAGGGCAATACAACACTCTTCCTCTTTCTTCAAAAATGCTACTTAAGTTTTAACGCTCACTTGCCAAACCGTAAACCCTCTCACACATAGAAACATTACAACCTACAGCTTGTTTCATTTAGTAAATCAAACTGCAAGTTAAAATAAAAACCTTCATATACTGTTTTTTTTATAGAGCTTTAAGACTCAAACTGAATCTGAATAATGTGACAATTATAAATTGTCCAAAAGTTTCATCTAAGAAAATAACATATTTTAAATAATTTTTGATCTGAAAATAAGTTTTGATGCTCATCTATAATACTTTACCAGGACAAATAGCAGAGAAAGGTACACAGCACTGCTTTTTAATGCATTTGCAGCAGTTGTATGAGTTAATAGCCCAGTTCAAGAGCTCTTATGCACAAAATTATTCACCTACTGCACCATCAGTTGCCATGGAAGCAGGTTAATCTAATCTAAAGTGAGAGTTTGCACATGGTTAGACCCCTCTTAGTATGCAGAAGTAGAAGAGGCGGATATACAGTACAATTAGGTTCGTGTCAAAAAGTGGGAGTTTTTTTAAACTTGCAGTACAGTTCTCAAATACTTTAACATATGTTCACTGAAAAGACATCTGAAGAGGATCAGACTTTAGCCTAGAACTCCTTTCAGGGGAAGTAGGTTTTAATGAACTTACCTATAAAAGTCTGCTGAGCCTGTGTATTTCCCCCAATGCGTGGGGAGCATGAGTGTGGATAGCTGGATCCATTGGCCCCCATCCTTATGTCTCTTCACTTGCTATTCGGGGGTCCCCCCTTTTGCTGAGTCATTCTGCTCAGACTACGGATTCCGTTCAAGCCTCAGTGGTGGGTCAGGCATGGGTCCTCTGAAGCATCCTCAGAGCCCCAGGCCCATGCTGCCATGCCTGAAGGAAATAAGATGAAAATCACACAAAGAATAGAAAGGAATTTCTACTCAGACTGTTTTAAATGTTGCCGACTATCTCACAGGGATCCTAACAAGTTTGGGTTAGATTATATATTCTGTAAACCATAATGACCAGACATGGATGTCAATGTTGGGGGGAGGGGTGTTCACAAAGTAACACCTATTTTCAACAATTACATCCCTTCAGCAACGTTGGCTTTAGTGCAATAATCAAACACAACCCCTCTGGCTGTTTTACAGGGCTGAAATGCTTAAAAAAAAACATTATACAAGATGTGCATTCAGACCTTATCTATAATCTTAAACATCGACTTCAGTCAACAAAGACTTCCTCTTCTTTCCCACAGGAAACTGATTGCCAGTCAACTACAATCAAATGCAGATGTAGCTTAGTTTCAACAACAACCAAAAAAAAAAAAAGGTACGACCCAACTTGTTCCAACCCTCTTTTACCCATGTCTGTTTTACCTGCTTAATCATTTGTGGGCTCATGGTTTCAATGTCTTTCTTATTTATTTTATGTTAATACCCAAGTAGGAAATTGTTAGAACACCTTTTTAGTGATTAAACCAGGATCTAATTCTCATTTGCATTTCGGCCTCATGAGTCAATGATTTCTTGATATTTAGAGGGAAATATCTAAATTAATCAGATATATTTGAATGTGTATTAAATCCTTTCACATGTCAAGAAGACTACTATATAAATGTACGATGCACACAATCAGAAAAGTCACAAGATAGTTTAAAACATTGCTAGTGTACAGCACCTACTTATAAAAAAGTAAAAAGTAGAGGTTTTGAGTCTCTGGTTCAGCGGAGACTGATCCATCGAAGCTTGATGTCTCGAGATCATCGTTAAAGTTGCCACGGTTGCAGCCTTAGGCAACTTAACCCCATCAGCTTTAGGAAGACTGAAGCATGACAGACTGGGAGCTTCCAACATACTAACCAGCTGAGATAAGGAGATGAATTTGATCTTTGTGTATATGTGGCAAGTAAACAACAGATATCCCTTACACTACTATTTCTGGTTGGACTTGTCTTTGCAAAGCTTTTAGCAATGTTTTTGGTAAAAATAGTTAACTAACGTGACAGGACAAAATGTCTGATAAAAGACGGTTGACTGAAGTACTTTAGCTGAAAACAAGCCTTCAGTATGGAAGTAAATATGTGTCGCTAGGATTTGAATTAAGAAATGCCACTGAGATTTTAATGTTGCATGTTCGTATTTAAAATTTCAGCATTAAAATATATTCAGAATACATTTTTAACCTTAAAAAAAAAATACTGCCGTTTGAAATTTCATTTGTTATTTTCACTTCAAGCTAAATTCATACTATTATTTCAAAGTGATCACATTTTCAACAGCTGTTTTTCAGTTGAACTTTTCAGTGTTAAAAAATATGCAGATAAAATAAAAATCAACCTTTCAAAATTCAAACGCAATACTTTCAGTCTCCTGAGATTCAACTGGCTCAATTTCACAGTCTGAAATTCAGCGTCTAAAAATTCAGTGTAAAAAAAAAAAAAAAAAAAAAAGGCAGGGTTACTTCAGGTCACAGACATTAGCAAAGGATGTCAGAATCCAACGCCCACATTATCTTTCTTAGTCACGTGACGTTACGCTTGTTGCGCTGATTTTGTAGGAAAACCAGCATCTCCGTGGTGGTCATGGAAGCTAACGCTAACTGAACGGTGAGTTTAATGCTTTAATTTTTCAGTAGTATGTTTTTTTTTTTTGCGCATCAAGTTCGGTACTACATTAAATTCACCGTTCAGTTAGCGTTAGCTTCCACGACCACCAAGGAGATGCTGGTTTTCCTAGAAAATCAGCGCAACAAGCGTAACGTCACGTGACTAAGAAAGCTAATGTGGGTTTTGTTTTCTGACATCCTTTGCTAATGTCTGTGACCTGAAGTAACCCTGCCTTTTTTTTTTTTTTACACTGAATTTCAGATTATGCACCAATTTCTTTTTAACATTGAAAAGTGAAACTGAAAACAGCTATTGAAAATGTGATCACTTTGAAATAATAGTGAGAATTTTTAGCTTGAAGCGAAAAATGAAATTTCAAACAATGACAATAATTTTTTTTAGGTTAAAAATGCATTCTGGATATATTTTAACACTGAAAAATTAAATACAAACACACAACATTAAAATTTCAGTGGTATTTTTAATTCTAATCCTAGCGACACATATTTACTTCCATACTTCAGTCATTAACTGACTGAGCTGGTGAATAAGTACGAATTAAATTTTTTACAAGCAGATAAAACTCGATACCAGCGTCACAAAAATGTAACTATTTAAAGCAGAATGGATTTTATTTCCCCAGTGCACTCGGATATTAAGTAGCTCGATATGCACGTTCTTTTATTTATTTAAATAAAACTAATGAAAGACATAGAATATCATTGTAGTCTTAAAAGACAAAAAGCCTTCTATATCTATGAGCATAGTCTTTTTTGGTGAAACCAGACTGAGAACTAAACTGTTTTGCGAGATCTGGTTTATCTCAGCCTGCTAGTTTCTCCTGCCTACCATACTAATAAATCATCGTGTCTGCCCCTGTAGAGCAGCACTCCACAGCCTCCCAAGGGTTTGATGGAAAACCACAGCCTCTTTCTCCACACGCACACATACACACCATACTCCAATACAGAAAGTTTTTATTTCAACCAACTGCCTCAAATAAGAGTGTCGTCAAAAGGAATTTATTTGGACAAATTTAGAAAATGAATTTGAATATGTAGCAGAGAAGAAAAAGCCCCCCGAGACATTAACAAAAGGCAGCACTGGTGATGGAGGTCCTCAAAGGAAAATAGCACAGGCAGAATAAAACAAAGCAATCGACACACCAATTGAATAATATGCTGAACTCCCCAGCCGGGCAGCTTTAGCTCATTTAAATGAATGAACCAAATTTAACTTTAGCTGCAATGCAGAATTCTTAAAAGGCATAATTTAGGACACCTCCCTGAGACCTGACTCATTCTATTCAGACAAACAGAAAAGAAACATCTCCACTATAATCTCTCTAAAGCCAAACATTAAGACACTTTAGAGCTGTTTAGACCCAAACAGTGAGCTGTAGTGTCACAGACTGAGGGAGGCAGACGCCGGCAGAGCTGGACTATGCGTATCTAATGAGAGGTGACAGGAGACACTCCCTGCCCCCCACCTATCTCTATGCGAACACACAGACATATGCACTCTTTCAAATCGCTCACCTTGCACCCACTTTTACACATTTTTTACTACAGATACACAAGTAAACAAAAATCAGCCACGTTCAATAGTTTACAAAACAAACTCATGGTCTTTCAATGGATATTATCCCACCAACACAAAGACCAATGTATTATTCAAATGACTCACAGGGCACTATCAATCATTTATGCAGACTTCCTCATCATGGCAGGAGAAAATGGAGGACGCAGGTACGCAAGCCTCCTTTCCTGTATGCAGCACAAAATTTCAGGATCATCAAATCCCCTTACTCTAAAAACCATAATTTATTTGACAAAAAAAAACAATGCTGTAAGCTAGTCTTGAAAATACGTCAATAAACACTGAGGTGAAGAAATATTTGGGAATTTTGAATGAAGATTAGGGAGTTTATTTATTATTTTTTTGAAAATTAAGACAATTTACCAATCCAAAAAGGCACAAGCGGTTTCATTTCAGTGACTAAAGTCAAGTTATGTCCATGTTTTAATGGATTTCTTTATTGGGCTCAGTGGCAGCAATATTAATTTCCCGAAGAACAACGTGTGTCACAATCAAGCTGTGGTAACAGTGAACTATACGTTACCCAAACACTTCCATTTTTACAATTTCGAAGCAGCTCCACTGTGCTTTTCATGCTCTTACATACTGGTACATGCTTCAATTTGATGTTTCTATACGGTTTGTTACTGGACCTGTAAGAAGATGTGGCCAGTATGTGCTTTCCCAGGCAGCTGCCCCAAAAATAGATGGCAATTATAGGATGTCTGATTCTATAGAGAGATAATTGATACAATCTGAGGTGATCTACAAATGGGGCAAAAACGAGAATACAGCAATGTGCAGTCACCAGAACTTTCTAACAAAGAGTGACCTCTGTGGTGTTGACGTGCCCCTGGAAAAAGATGAACCGCAGGTGGATGTTCCAGCTAAAATGACGATAATTATAGAAGCAACATTCAGAAGCAGAACGCAAAAATCAACTACATCTATTGGTAATTGTGTAAATTGGTCTCTAATGATGCTATTTAGCTGATAACAGACTGCATGAATCAGAAAAGACTGGAGAACAGACAACACATTAAAACGATGACTCACGATGAACAACCTCTGGATTAGCCTGTGTCAACCAACAGTATAAACCATGGTGCTGCTGAATATTTGACATTTCACTCACTGCATGATCAGCTGATTATATTATTGCTCCAGAGGCAGCGGCATACAAGCCAAACAATACAAATCACTCATACGGTTTCATAAACAGCATTAACGCGTGGTCATCTTTAAGACCTTTGCGTAAAAAGAATATAAACCTAAATAAAAGCACCTTAAGACTAACTAGGTAAACGTTGTGCAGTAGGTCTGTGTGAAGATCAACTCTGACCAGGAACAGATTTTCAATACAGAGTTGTTAAGTGTTCACAAACAAGAAACTACACAACCTGGCAACTAATCTTCAGGGAATGAATGACCTCTCAGAAAACAATGAGTGCTTATTTTGAGAGATATCAATGCTCCTTGTTGTGTTCCCCTTCCAAGTGGGCAATGTAAACAGCACTCAGGCCAAAGTCCTGCTCATTCATGGGTTACTCATTAGCACGTATGTCTTTCACACCAGGTATAGACTTCTGAGCGTGCAACTTCAATAATTACAGGTCATTATACATCCCTAAAGCACCGATACAAATACTCGATCTGGGAAAAAACAAGAATCACATCAGCTGAGTAGTACATTTTCCAAAAGATAAAGACAAACACACTCACGGGGTCTGTGGGGGACTGGATTAAGAAAATGCTGATGATTGCACACACAGTTTAAGTGATTACAACACGATTATCACAGTCTGCATATGGCTCCTCAGGAGTTAAATTGGTGACACAAACTCATATCTTATTATAACTATGTGCTTTGGTGGATTAATAAGGCTGACTGGCAACACAAGACGCCTACAGAGCGATGATGAACATTTAAATACAAACGAAGCATAATTTGACAACAGCATATTACATCATAAGTCTTATTTACATATAGTGAATGCAATAAGACAACCATCAGCAACATGTAGGTCAATTTCCAAGTAAAAAATCCACAAATCATCCCAAACTTTTTCTGTCAGTCAGGCATGACAAGCTGAAACAGATGCATCTACTTTGAAGCCACAAGTATAAAGACATGAATAATTTGCAAAGGCTTTGTTAGCCTGAGCTATTGTTGCTCTTTGGACTACTGGTGGGCTATGGCTGCTAAACGGAAGCCATGGTTAAAAGTCATTTAAAGCCCCAAAAAACATCAATAAGTGGATCGTTTTTCGCTGCAGATAATAAATATAAGTAGAGCCCAATTATTTGTCTGTAGCCCAGCCAGACGAGCCCACCACGGGCTTGTAATTAGTAGCATATCCTCGCAGGCTAGGGTAAGCTATCCGTGTCGCTTTGAATTTACGCCTCAGAAACCGCAATTTACTTCAAGCAGGATGCGAAGCAACTGTTGGAAAGCCACCGTTCAAACGTCTTTACCCAAAAGTGAAGCGCTTCGTGGGCATTTGCCTTCGAATCACATCGTAGTTTCAGCAGTGCTCCGAGTCAACTTATCTGTGGCAGAGAGAGAAAAAAAATGCAGCTCAACACCTTCTCTTTTTTTTTTTTTCCTCTCAACTCTGCTCATGATTACGCACGGCTCGACGTCAAGCCTCACATCAGACCGCTAACATGCAATACTTCCCCACTTCTATCGACTTTCCGGCGATTTTTCAGCATTTACCTCGACCAAGAGCTAACCCAGAACCGTCCGTATCCTCGGTCCGGATTGGTATTTCCCCCTCATAGTAGCACAACGCCTTGTTGGGTGGTTATTATGGCCTATCCCAAAGCTACCAGTTTCAAGTTAGCTAAAATACGCAGGAGGGTTTCCGGTTTTGTCTTTCAAAATAAAACCTCAAACGCTTACCTTTGTATGATGCTACAAAGAAATGCCAAATATTTTTTACTGATTTTATATTGTTTATCATAGAAGTGATTCACGTTAAAACAAAATGACGCAGTCTTCTCATAGGTTTGGGGAAAAATAAGTTAATTTCCTTGTAGTTCCGCTAACTTGACTTGTTCTCCGACTTGCCAAGAAGGTTGTGCAACAATTCATTCACGAGCGCCCTCTAGTGTCCTTACAGCGACAGTGACATTAAAATAAATATATTTATTTATTTATATAAAGCATTTAATTATTTGCTTATTTGTCCATGTATTTATATTATATTTTACACCCCCAGATATTTAAACGGATTTGTATTGGAAAGTTTTTTTTTTGATTTTAATAATATATTTTAATTGTCACTGTCCAAGTGCATCATGCATGGTGTTTGTACACAACTGGGGGGGGGAGGGGGGGTGTACGCGTCATTGCTATTTAAATTAGTCTACATTTTTGTCTTACAAAATGTGAAAAAGATTTTTTTTAAAAAGAAGCTTTTCATTGTTAATGTCTTATAGAGCAAGTGTTTCTGAGAACCAGACGAGGGCGTCCAAACACTAAATGTGAGCTGAAGCCCTTTGACTAAAACCAGAAATCATTCATTCAGATCTTCAAGTCTGGAAAACCAAACGTTTTTGTTGCATTTATTGCTTTTAAAACATATTCATGTTATATAAACAAAATGATCGTTTTCAATAGTTCATCAGGTTCCTCAACATCATGATTTAAGAAACAAAAAAACTGCTCAATTTGATATGTAAAAAATGTTAGTCAGAGCAGCACTTCTTCTATCGTGATGAGTGATAAATTACACATTAGTATTAAAAAAGTTTTTTTTAATGGTCTGCATTGATTACAAGAATGAGCAAATATAAACTATCTACTGCAGTGCAATGTCTGTTATCTATTAGTGCAAAGTTAAAGGTTGTGAACAATCATTACCAACAGAAAACATTTAGAAAGAAATAACATGATTGAAAGTTGTCCAAAGATTAGAATAACATAATTTTCCCTCCCACAATCTTCAGCTGAACACAGAAAACTAATTTGCTATAATGACAGCTGACTCTGTGTGTTTACATGAGTGCTGTTGGTCCACTCCTCACAGGAAGAGCGATGGGAACGAGTTAAAGTAGATCCTATCTGCCTGGATCTCATGGGATGGTTGGAGGGTTTATTGGCGAAGCATTTCCTTTAAGTTAAAGAGACTGATTGTGGAAGCTGAACCAAGAAGAATGTCCTCCATCTTCAGGAGACACTCAAAATTTCTTACCATGGAAACAATTCAGCAAAACCACAAGTTGAAAATCTACAGCAAGCCGCCAAAGGACAAGATTGGGCCACTGGTAGGACTGGTACTTTTTGTTAGGTTGAAATGGGAATGTGTTTTGAGCTTAGTAACTGTAATTGATTACATTTTAGCTTATTTTAGGCAAAAAAAATGTCAGTCTTTAAGGTCCAGTTCTTTTGATGCTTCACTTTATTGCTTGTAATGCGAGGAACTCAAGCGAACATTGCTCCCTGGCCGGCAAAAGTGGAAAAGATGTTTTATTCATCTGGTATCCGTAAGTCAGCGTGAAGCTCCGGCTCCTGAAAAAGGATCCAATGATGGAACTGCAACATCGCAGCCAGCATTTATACCTCTATAAATCTGCTGATCTGTCCTCAGGGACACGGACAGGGCTTTTACTGAGCATGTTTCGAGTTAGGAATGCCAGCAGGGAGAAGAAAACAGGGAATATCACTGCAGGGAAATTTACAAACAGGAAATATAAGATGCCTTGAAGAGTCAGTGGAGTTTGTGTGGACACAGATGTTCAGTTTTTTATTTGATTTATTTATTTAGTCTGGTGCAGTAATAATAATGTGCAATAAAAAGTGACCTATCTGAATATTATCTGGTCATAAAATGTTAATAACAATAAAAGGCACTGGTAATCAAATATCATGTTAATCTTCTTTGGGGCTCTCTTGCAGCAGTCTGCATTTGTCCTGTGTGTGTTTGCCATGACTCTCCTGGCTCCGGCTGGATGGATTATGCATCACATCCCAGAATATCGGCAGAGATCACCTCCACGACCCTGACCTCTAAAAACAGCTCCTTCAGCATCTTCTGCATTGAGACTTGATTACTTCTGCTTCAAATGGAAAACCATGTCAAGGATCAACAAACCCGTTTTATTGTATAAAAATATTTATAAAACTGCTAGAAGCTGCAGAATGAAAGCATTTCTGTTTTTATTTTTCATTAGCTGGACAAAGATAGAAAAAAAAGTTTGTCAGTTTCATAAAACTCATTCTAAAACCTACAAGTTTGCGTGCAATGTATGTATCTATAAAACGGTACAAGTCAACAGATCCATTTGTAATTCTTCTCAAGAATCTTTGTTACTTTCAAAACTATATTAAAAAAACTGAACATTCAAACAGGCATTTTTGTTTTCTTTCACTCTCACAAGCCCCCAGAAGGTAAAACGCCAAGCTTCCACAGATTCAGTTATATTTTAGCACATAATTTTTCTTTAAAACTGGAAGTGAAGCGTCTTAACTTATCATATTTCTAAGATAAAACACATGGAAATTCACATGTGAGTATTAGAGTCGATTAGTTTTTTTAGATATGACTTTTCACACAGCCACTGTTCTTTGAGGCTTTCTTTTCAGTTTGTGTTTCTGTCTGTCTCTTATTGACAGCCAGGGAGTGAAAGTTGTGCTTTTACAGCTCAAACACTTTAAAATGTATTCAGAAATGCTGTAATTGTGTGAATTTTGATTCAGCACTCACACAGTTGCATTTTATTTTTTTAAATTTCCATGCATTTTTGGCAATCTAAATACTTCTGCACATTTTGTGCTATTTTAGCCATTTATATATCAAAACTTTCAGCTCATTAAGGGTGATATGATGTTTTTGGTAACTTTTTTATTCTTCAAAAGTTAACTTTATTTACAACAATTTTCATATTAGAAATACAATTATTTATCCTCAACAATAACAACTTACAGTTACGTCTACCCATCATTCGTCTTTTTTTTCGTTCGTTTTTAGGTAGAATTGAGCAATTTTGAACTTTTAACTACCGTGTTTAGCTTTTAGGTAGCCTTTAGCAACATTTACCTTTTAGTTACCATTTTTCCACTTTTAGCTTTAGGTATAGCCTTTAGCAGCTTTCACCTTTTAGCTACCGTTCATCTACTTTTAGCTTTTAGGTAGTAGCAATTTTGACCTTTTAGCTACCATTCTTCTATTTTTAGCCTTTAGGTATTTTGCAACATTTACTTTTTAGCTACCATTTTACTTTTACCTTTTTGGCAGCCTTTAGCAATTACCTTTTAGCTACTGTTCTTCTACTTTTAGATTTTAGTAAATTATACTTTTTAACAACCGTTCGTCCACTTTTAGCTTATCCTGCTACCGTTAGTCTACTTTTAGCTTTTAGGCAGCCTTTAGCAACGTTTACATTTTAGTTACAATTCTTCCACTTTTAGCTTTTAGGTAGCCTTTAGCAATTACCTTTTAGCTACTGTTCTTCTACTTTTAGCTTTT